GTATCTTGGGATATGAAATTATCTTTAACTTGTACTTAGTCCAAAATGTGGCCTGAGTTGAGTTTTCAGTTCTTCATTGCTTAGCTCTTTACTAATGACAGAAAGTCTCTCTATGGAAGCACTTAATTTATCCCATACAAACGGAAAATGAAGAACTGAAGTTCGCACATTTTGTTGACAGCCATGGCTGAACGCTTAAAATATTCAAATACTTTCCAATTGACTTAATATTAATAGAACTCCTTTTAAAGTGTTTTAGGAACTATATCCTGTCAGAAGGCTATCATTTCTATGCTGTATCTTTTTAAATGTTAAGTTTCTCTATAGGGTCTATATTCTTTCTGTATTAAAGGTCAATTTCAAGGCATGCCCAGAGGAATTCTGGTATTTTAGGTATCACTGCAGAAGTCTCATTTTATATGGGTGACGGATTAGCTAATTTTCCATTCAATCTAATTAGAAAATAAGAAAATATGAATTAAGAAAACCAAGATATGAAATTTTTCACCCCAAAGTTTAGTCCAAATATAAAATATTGATAAAATAATATTTTTATGAGAGCGTATATATCTACACACTTTAATATGTGGTAATATGAGTTGGTAGTTAAATTTTATGATGAGATTTTAGCAATACTATATTTATAAAAACTTACAATCATAGGGCAGATGTCACAGCAGTTAAGGACTCCCACATGATCTTCTGTAGTTCAAGTCCCAGACCTTAGGTGGCTGTCCCCATCCTCCAGGGAGGATGGTCATCCCACAATCCCTTCTCCATTCTCCTCCTGGGATTTGGGGCACATGCACATGCTCCTGGTATGATTTTCAAGCCCCCAGGTAGCTTTGTCACTAAAACACTTACATAGATCTATCAATAGAAATAGTAGTTGTATGTTATTCAGATAAAGTAACTGCTAAATGATGCAACAGAAAAATATGCATTCTGAATTGCTTAACATTACAAGTTTCTTTTCTTCCCCCACAATGTGCATGTGCTTTTCAGATTGAGACACAGTGATACAGAGAGAGGGAATGTGAGGATCACCTCTGCCCCTGAGGGTGGATGGCCATGCCATAATCCCTTCTCTTCCTGGGATTTTGGGCACTCAAGCACACATGCCTAGAGTAATTTTCAAGTCATCAGGTCCAGAGTTTGAACCGTAGTTGATCATGTGGGAGTAGTCCAGCACCTTAACCACCACACCATCTACTGGCCCCCAAAAGTTTATTTCTTAGGTACATAAAATTTGATATGTGTTGGCAGAGGCTCTGTGTTCTCGGTGACATAAAGAGTCACCTGACCCCTTATGCTACCTTCTAGATGCAAACCTGACAAAAAACAAACAAACAAACAAACAAACAAAAAAACAACTATTTTCATTTATTACATCACTTACAAAATATAACCCTACCTTAGAGTTTTGCCAAATTATACACAAGATAACCCAATTAATGGAAAATGTACTGGCTCCCCCAGGGACCTAGGCTGCTTCCATTGAAGGGTTCCACATCTTAACATAGGCTCTCCACATTTGTCCATGAATGGGAGAGAAAGCATGGAGGTGGCAGATGGCTCTCATGTGCTTCACTCTTGAGGTGACAGACATGCTTCTGCTCATATTTCAGTGACAAGGGTTAGTCACATGACTCTTACTAATTGCAAGTGGACTGGGAAGGTAGTCTCCCCATGAGCCCAGGAAAGAGAGAAAGACACCATGTGATTGGGCATTGACAGTCTCTCCAATTAACTACTATATAGTAGGTGCTCATCAAAGAGCAACTATTAAAATTGGTTATGAAAACAACCCTTTTTGTTCCTTGGAAGAGTTTTAAAGACAACCAAATTTGTCTTGAAGTTGGCCAAAATTAGGTGACACCTAATTTTCAAAATGACCCTGTAAATCTTTACAGGGAAGGTTTGCCCTTTGTCACTCAGTAGCACCTTTTTGCATTACCCTTTATGACAACCTGCACGATTTCAGTTGACTGAGAATATTCTCCCATCTGTGGTTCATGGGTAAAATTATAACTACCCACTACCAGACTTCACATGCTCAAGCAAATGAACAGGCACGATTAAGCACACTGAAAAACCAGCATTTCCCCCAGAGGCAAGTACAGATATGAGTAAATGGGAACATGGTGAATTATTTTGAAATTTTCTTTTTATTCAAAACTAGCATGTCTGCCAAGGAACCATTTTCTACCTCTGAGAAAGACTCCAGGGTTTTTAGGGATTCAGCCTCAGTAGATGTTTGCTTACACAGTGATTTCTTCATCTTTCCTCATCTGCCACTTAGGAGGGAGGCTTTGGTTTTTGACCACCCAGGGACATTCACTTATTGATGTGTGTGTTCAGTGGCCGGTCTCAAATAAAACACTCCATTAAAATCCTACTGCGAGTACAGGGGTAGTTTTAAGTAACTTTCTCTCTAGCCTCAGGGTTATGAACCCAGTACCTGAAGATTTGGTGACAATAAGACTCTCCTCACCAGCAGATCTGAAAACACTATGACAGTTTGGTGTGGGTGGGGGAGGGGGACCCAGGGGATGAAGAGGTCTCTAAGCGTTACTGTCTGAAGTGAATGGTTACACAAAAGGGGATATTGGCATCATAAGGGTCAGCAATGAGGGGCAGAACCCTAGAGAGTTGGCACCCTCTAGGTCAGGGAGAAGAAAGCAGGTGAGCCTGGGATGCCTGTTCCTATGGAAGCAGGTGTAGCTCCAGAGAAGGACACAGTGAAGAGCTGGCCAGCAGGTCAGTTCTGGTTTGGAAAGGAGGGCACACTGGGGAAGATATGTGTTGGAGGCCATGAGAGGGGGTGTTGTAATGTGCTGGGACCAGGGCAGATCCAGCTCTGGGAGAACCATGGGGTTAGCAGCAGGAGGATCCCAGGCAAATGTACCCAAACAGTCCTAATTGTATTTGGTTCCCATTTTTTCCTTCCCTCTTTAGGCCTACTTTTAATACATTGGCCACAGCACACTTCTTAAAACTTGAGAGACATTGTGGAACAGTGAAAAGAATTAAGAGACAGAAAGTGGCCTCATATTGAGAGGAGAGTGGTGTGGGCAGCGTGGGCTCTAGAGGAATTCTGACCAGGGGTCTTATCCCAGCTGTGTCATTTACCAGCCATGTGAACTTGAGACTACTGCAAGTTCTTCATCCTCCAAGTCAGTTTGACAAACTCTCATCTGGCAGAATTGTCAAAATGTCATGTATATATTACACCTGGCAAAGTGACTGGCAAATATTAGGTCTTTAATGAGTGGCAGTTATTACTATGATTATATCCTCACCCAGAAGAGACTTCTCTCATCTCTGGGAAGTTGTTTTATCCAGATGCCAGAAAATATATAGTGATCTACAACAATGAAAAGCAAACCAGCCCAAATGCTGCTAAAGTAACACCAAGTAAATTTTCCCCATTAGAGAATATGTTGACATGATACATTTTTGCCAGGATTCAATTCGCTTGTAGAATTTATGTCAAGGAATAAGAATTCCCCTACCTTCTACATGCCCTCCTGACATAAATAAATAAATAAAATTTAAAATCCCTATTTTCATTTATTTCATCACTAACAAAACATAACCCTACCTTAGTGCTTTGCCAAATTATACACAGGACAACCCAATTAATGGAATAGGCATTGGCTCCCCCAACTCAGGGCACAGTGCCATCCCAGTGGCTTCTTGACATCTTACCTCAAGGGAGTATCACCCCTATTTCTCAAAAACTCCTTAGAGACAATATGCGTCAAACACCCAGTTTGTGCACTGTTCAGTTGCACTGGACACAAGTGCTAGAATTTTTCTATTCCTACCCCAGGTAGAGACTCTGCTTTATGCAGTCTCACAGTAACTGTTAAGGGTGGTTTCCCACTGTAGGCTTAGTCTCTCAGCAATGGGACTCACCATGTGAGAGGCTGGCACTTACATTTGATGAGTAAGTACTTATGATGAGGCAATCCCCATCTAGTCCACCCTGGAGCTAAATTAAAAAGACCTCTCAAAGGTCCTTATAATGCACTTATAATGCCCCAAATCACAAAGTGCCTTAACTTCTCTCTTCTGTATCTCCCTTCCCCATCATCCTTACTCCTTTTTTAAACAAAAATTTTATTTTTCCTGTACATGTTAAGAGTGTATCACAGCACCTTCTTTATATAATAACTGCTCTTAGACTCTAAAACTAACTGGTCAAAAAAAGGAAGGGTCTTATTTTAAAATGGTATTTATTATTATTTTTATTTTTTAATTTGCTGTAGGGCACGTGTGCTCACCAGAGAGAGACAGACAGAGAGAGGGAAAGTGAGAAAGTAAATTGCCAGGTTCAGACCTCAAACAACTGTCACCATGTGGGAGTCCAACACCTAAACCATCACGCCACCTGCTGGCCCCTTTTATGTTAGCAGCAACACTGCTAGCACAGAGCCTTCCAAAGAGCAGACACTTGATAAATGAGAATAAATAAGTCACTGAGCCAAGAATGTAACATTGCTATTTTATTTTATCTGAATTCTTGACTAGATTAAGGATAACCAAGTTTACATCTTTGAATTTTCCAAAAGAAAGACAGCCATGAATAAGGCAAATCCAGAATTGACCACATTTTGCTTTGCTTTTCTTTAAGACCCCAATTATGTTTGCTAGGGTTTCATATCTTTCCAAGAAAATCCCCATTCCAAAGCCATGTTTTCTTGTTCTCAAATCCTCTAAAAGATTCAAGGATTTTAAAATGCATTACAGAATACTAAAACTCTTACTATTAAACCTGACAACAGTAATACATGTGGAATCCCTGTCAGTCATAAACTTATACTGTTAATCTAAATAAACATTGCATTAAAAGAACATGTAGAAGATATGAATATATAACAGGAACACAAGGCAGATATATAATATGATCTCTCTACAGTCATCTCAGCCTCCTACTACTTAAAAGGTTGGCAACTGTGCTCAAAACCAAAGTGAAAAATCTGCCTCACTCCTCATTAGGGGTGGGAGGAGCTTCCAGGCATGGGCTCAGAACTTGTGATGGCCACGGCAGTGATGCCGAGCCCAGCGAAATGAATGCTTTGGGCTCTCTCTTCCTCATCTCTTAAAGCCTCTTCATAATGGAGTGGGAAGGCACTAGGGACTGTTTCATGGACCTTGGCCAAAAACTCCAGGACTCTCATCTTGCTGATTTCAGCATGGGCTCTGGGACCCCACAGGAACTGATAGCGTGGGGGATGACTGTTGGGCACCTGGCGGTACTCCAAGTACTGCTCCTGCACCAGATCTTCAGTAATGAGCTTTCGGGGCTCCCCAAAGATTACATGCTTCTTGCCATCATAGACCCCCAAAATATTCAGGAATTCCCACATCTCCTCCTCAGCGATGTAACTGCCATTTAAGAAGATCACACCCAGGAGAGGCATCAAAAGCCCATTTTTGGGAAAGCCCAAATTACTGCTCACACTCCCATCGCTAGCGAGGTCTAGCTTGCTAACAAGGGTATAAGACTGACCTCTGGGGTCGGCCTCCTTCAAGTCAAAGCCAAAGACTAGCTCTATGTGCTCAGAGGCTCTCTTGAGGATCTCAGGGAAATGCTCCCTGTGCGTTTTGTTGAGAAGCTTCAGCATGTCTGCCTTCCTAATGGGTGCTTGCATTTTATACTTCTCTAGCAGAAACTGTGTAAATATTCCTGCCTTTCTGGCTAGAAGATCATTTGGGGAGCTCTCAGTGGAGGATGGGGCCTCAGAGGAACTTGCATTTTTCTTACTTTGCCTCTTAGCACCTTTATTAGATTTTTTGTAGGAATCACCTGCAGCAGCAGCAGTGGTGCTGGGTGGGGCACTCTCAGGCTCTTGGGGAGAGCCAGCAGCAGACCTCGGGGCAGCACCCTCTAGGAGAGAAGAGGAACAGCAAGGGGACTCTTCTTCCTCTGCTGCAGGGGTCTGAGCACTCTCAAGATCCTGGGTCTCCTCTCGGGCCTGCCGGCGTTTCTCCCGTGCACGGAGCTTACTCTTCTGACCTCGAGGCATGGCGGCTGTAGACAGGGACAGCAATCAGGAGTGTGAGCAGAATGGAAATGGTGAGAGACCTGAGAAGGGGCGATGAGATCCTGTGAACATCTTTAGCATCTTGGATTTGTGGAAGCTGCCTCTTCAGAGCACCTTCCCTGAGAGCACTGCTCTAGAAACCTACCAGGCTCTTATTCTCAGCAGCATGACCCTTGGGCAACTAGTGGAGGAGGTTATAGTGTGATTTAGTCTATAGCCTGCCAGCCCTACCTGAGGCTAACTGGATGACCACAGGGGCTGGCAGTGTAGACTTCCTCTGCATTCACAGACCCTTTCAGTTCATGTATAGGATTGTCATATCTACTAGTCTCAACAGGGCCTGGAACCTCTTTCCTATGCTGCTCTGAAGCTGACACCTTAAAGCTCCCTGGGATCCATGAGAAGGAAATGAGGGGTTCCTCAGCTCCCCACTACTGTGGGTTAGAGGGAAGCAGTGCTAACAGTTTCATGGGGCTTTATCTTACTGGGCATCATATTCAGAGTCTTGCTTATCTGCACCTAAAGTCTGAGACCTTCTCTTTGCTGACTGATGTTGCACCTTCAGACCATGGCTCTTACCTCCTTTAGACTGATACAAAGAGATGAGAAGGAGTCCCAGCCTGATGGCTCTGTTCTAGGTCTTTAAGGGCTGAGCAGAAGGACAGCATCAGCCTCTCTTGTCCCTTCTATTTAGGGTAGGGAGTGAGGTGTTGGGGAGTGTTACCTTCAGTCCTCACTCATGGTCCATATTTTGATTTCTGTGAGGGCCCCAAAAGGCCCTCTCTTGTCCCAGAAAGTAGCAGCTCACATACAGGTCTATACCTACTATGGCTACTTTCTGGGAAGGGTCACCTCACACTTACTATCACCACTTTAACTCCTGTTAGAAGCCAGGTTTCCTCCCTGTGATTAATGAGAGCTCTCTCACTAAACCAAAATCTTTATGCCCCTGACACCACTCCTAGAGGAAATGAGGAGTGCTGAGAGTTCTAACCTTGACTTCTCAGGGCTGAATGCAAAGGTAAGTCTGTGTGTGTTCTCCTCTGTTCTGGGACAGGTAGTTAATCTCCTTCCTTAGACAGGATTTGTACCTTGACACCCATCATGCCCTATGATTCCTCTCTCTCTCTCTGCCAAATTGAGGCAGCTAACACTTAAACCAAGGCCCTCAAGTCCCTAATACACTGCAGGCAGATATCAAGTGGCAACTAAGCTTAACTACGCTGGCCTGGGACTCCCAGGGATGGCATCAGGTGAAGCTTTGTCCATTGTATATGAATAGCCTCCATTTACTCAGAAATTCATCTTGAGTCTGCAGTTTCTGAAATTATACCTTGTACTGTCCAGAGGCCACACCCTTTTGACAAGAGTCCTCCTATTTCTTAGACCTGAGGTGACAGAGTGAGCCCCATCCTGCCAAGGGTGACTGGGACTTTTGCATGCCAAGAGCAGGGGTAGGAGTCTTGGACAGCACTATTCTGGAGTCTGTAACATCTACCAAAGTCTTCACACAGGACATTATTTTTTCCTTTTCTTTTTAAAATAATATGAAACGCTTGCACATGTGCACCCAACAGAGAAAGCCGAAGTGAAAGCACCTTGAGCAAGGTCCTGTCATGCCATGATACCTTTTCCCCAGCCCTCCAATTTTTCAGGATCCTGGGTGCCAGCAGTGTACCCAGTATGTTTTTCAGTCCCATGGGACATCCTGTGACTGAATATAGCTTTCAGCATGGCAGGGTGTTAGTTATCCCTGCGCCACAACATTGCTATTGCAGCATGGCTGGCCATGGCATTACCACTGTGTCACAGGGGCAGGACCTCACACAGGACTTTGACCTTGACTTCTAGTATAATTTAGGACTCTGTTCTCTACTAACCTGAGTCTACCAGCTTCAGACCTAAGTCCTCATCTCCCTGCACTGCTAGAGGGAAAGTCAGGGTACTCCACATCTGGCTACCTGGCCTGGGAGGTACCAGGTATATGAGCAAAGGCAGTACTTGGTGTGGCCCCCTATTTTGAGAAAAGGGCCATTCATTAGCATTAAGGGTCCTACCTTTATTCCTTTTAGGGCCAAGACTCCGTCCTGTGCAAACACTGCTCTCTTCTTCAGACAAATTCTCTCCTCTCCTCGAGACCCTATGAGTGGAAACAAAGGGACTTCTTAGAGTTATAGCTCTGGCCTAGGGCCTCCAGGGCTGACTGTTTTGTTACAGATTGGGAGAAGTCCTTTCAATACAAACTCTGGGCCCTCAGATTGACTCCAGTTAAGGACTAGGTGACCTCCATTTCAGATCTCGCCCACCCTTAGCCTTTTCAGACAAAATTCAGCCTAAAACTTTCCCAGCCGATTACAAAGGTGCGACTCTGTCCTCTCCTTTTTTACAGGGGGCGGGGGTGGTCTCTTCAGTCTGTATTCAAGGTCCTCACCTTGATTCCAGACTAGTCCCGGGAATTCATCCTCAGCCAACGGCCATCGAACGCGCGCAGCACCACCGAAACGGAAGTCCTGCTTTACAAAACCAAAGAGAGGGTTGACCACATCCGGTCTCGGCTGCGTGGGGTCTCCCGGGGCTGACAGCAGGGACGGGGCTGCGCAATCGCGGTCCCTAGCTCCTCACTCAGGGTCGTCCCCTCGATATCTAGTGCAGCCCGAGACTCCTCTCTCAACAGACCCGTATCAGAGAGCCTCCAGACAAGCCCTCACCTCCCGGGTCTGGACGAGAGGAGTCTGGGCACCACATCCGGTTACCCCTGCCTGAGCCTCGGCGGGGGCAGGGCTCCGGGTGACACTGCTTTTGGGGAGAAGCCTCTCCTATGCCCTCGCGATCCTCATCTTGACTCCGGTTAAAGCCAGGACTCTTCCCTGTGCAGAACTGGGGTCGTGCCCATTAGACTCTGGCGTGTTCCATTTTGAGACCTTCCAGGCTGAAAAGAGGGCACTTCAGCCTGGTAACCATCCGGTGCTGCAAAACAGGGATGAGGTCTGTGGTGCCTCCTCTGCTCGTAGAGGTCCTCTCATAATGCTTAGAGTCCTCACATTGATTCTTGTTCAGGTTTAGGTTTCCTTCCTTTGTAAACTAAAGCTTTTCCCTTTAAGACTTAACAGGCAAAAATTAGCCTGATATCTCAGCCTGGGACTTCCAGCACAGAGGACTTTGTAAAGCCTTCTCTTACCATGCAAACGCCTTAGTTCACAGTGAGGTTCTCACCTTGACAAGTGCCAGGTTCTGGACTGCACCCTCTGTTTATCTGGATCTGCTCCTCGCACACAAAGTTCCTGCCTTCCTGAGAATTCCAAGTTGGAAGTCAGGGTGACCCTCCTATGATCACAGTCCTTTCACAACCTTCAAGGACAGACAGGAGGGACACAACACTGTAGGACTGGTAGCTCTGACTGGGTCCTTCCCTCATTTTTCATTTATGGTCCTCTCTGTTACATCTATCAGAGCCTGGGCCTCCTCTCTCTGCTGAACTGAAGTCACTCTCCTTACGGCTCTAGACCAAAGGTCCCCAATCCCTGGGACCATGGACTGGTGGCCTGTTAGGAAATGAGCAGCAAGCAAAAGAAGCTTCATCTGTATTTACAGCCACTCCCTGTCACTAGCAGCACTGTCTGAGCTCTGCCTTATGTCAGACCATCGGTGCATTAGTTTTTCATAGGAGCATACTCTATTGTGAACTGTGCATATAAGGGGTCTAGATTGCCCACTTCCTAGGAGAATCAAATGCTTGGTGATTTCAGGTGGAGGTGATTTCAGTGCTGGGGAGTGGTTGCAGATACTGCATTATGGTAAGGTGTATAATTATTTAATTACATTGCTATATTACAATAGAATAATAATAGAAATAAAGTGCACAATAAATGTAATGAATCATCCCTAAGTCACCACCCTCCACCATTCATGGAAAAACTGTCAGGAAACCTGTCCCTGGTGTCAAAAAGGTTGGGAAATCACTGCTCTAGAGACTCAATATATTGAAGTAGTTGTCTTCATTTCGGGTGGTGGGGGGGAGAGTTCTCCATATTGGTTCCTATCTCTTGATTCAGGTTTCTGGAAAAACTCCACATTCCTGCAAAACTTAACCAATATTATCTCTGCAGACCTTGAAAAGAAGGGGGTCCTTGTCCTATGAGTGATATGACATTAAGAGCCTTCAACATAAGACCGGAAACCCAAGGATAGATGTTATACTGTCAGGAAAAAAAATTACCCTAATCTATTTTTCCTCTTTGTCAATCAGAGAAAGGATAATTCTTAAAGATTTACTTTCAGACTGGCTCTGGGGCCTGGTGGTTAGAGTGGCTAGATCCTACATGACCCCCCACATGGTTCAAGTCCTAAACCCGGTGTCTGGACAAATACTCTGGGCATATATGCATGTCTGACAGGAGGGAGAGATGGAGGAGAAAGGATTGTGGGTGACTATTCCTCATGAGGAGTGTTTCTCCTCTCTCTCTCTCTCTCTCTCTCTCTGGCCAGTGCCTGTGTTCTCTAGCAAAAGACAAAAACAAAAAACAAAATCCTTTCTAACAAATGGGCAGAACCAGATGATGCTATGAGCTCTTGCTCTTTTAAAGCTATCTGATTTTGCCTATGTATATCATCATGTTGTCAGCTGGTATTACCTCTTTCACATCTTAATTCATACCTCTCAATTATTTTGATATTTTTATTGCTCTGGCTATGTATTTCAATTCAGTATTTTGGGGCAGAGTACTTCTTATCACTGGAACCACATTTTGGAAAAGTAGAAAAAAAAGGAATTAAGCTATTCATGGTTGCTGGGCTCTAGAGTAATTCCAATCAGGAATCTGTCCAGCTCTGTCATTTACTAGCTGTGTTAACTTGAGCACATTACCCAACTCTGTGAGCCTCAGGCTCTGCATCTGTGAAGTGAGTTTGGCAAGCCCTGTCTTTTAGAACTGGTAGAATTTGGTTAATGTGTTTAAAGCACCTGGCACAGTGTCTGGAGTGCACTGAGACTTTAACAATGCCTCTTACAACTATGATTATGTCTATCACGCTGATGCCTTTTTTTTTTTTAATACAGGAGCTAGTAGAGCACATACAGCACTCTGGGACATGGAACAATGAGCAGCCCAAAATGCTCCTTACAAAGAAACTCTTAGTAAATGTTCTCCATTAAATCATAGTTTGGGTATTGAGGTATTTTTCTTAGCTGAATGCAACTCATATCTTCTAGAGTTTGCTTTAAAGGCCAGTTCTGGGCTTTCTTCAAAACCACTCCTGCTTCATGAATTTCATCCCTACCCAAAATCTAGATATCTCTTCCAGTTCATCAAAGTACATGCAAAAGAAGGAGGAGGAGGAAGAGGAGGAGAAGAAGAAGAGGAAGAGGAAGTAGAAGGAGAAGAAAGGGGAAAAAAATAAGGAGGAGAAATTGATTGCCCTTCTAATGAAATGGACTCTAGCTCTCCATGAAAAAGAGTGCCAGCACAGTGGCTTCTGAGTTTACAACCTAAAAAGAATATCACCCTGGGGGAACCAGCAGTTAGCGTAATGGCTATGTCGCTGGACTCCCACGTAGTCGACCGCGGTTCGTGTCCCGGACCCGGTGGCTTAAAACTCACGCCGGGCGTGTGTGCGTGTGTGCCCAAGATCCCGAGAGGAGAATGGAGGAGAAGGGATTGTGGCGTGACCATCCCCCCTGGGGGGTGATTTCTCGCTTTCTGTCTCTATGTC